TTAAGGACCTCTAATCCTTTCAGGTAGTACTTTCCTTGGCCTGTGGTCTTTTCTTCACTTACATGTTCATCCTAATCAGTAATCAGCTGAGTACTTTCCTCTAGTCTCTAGTCTTCTGTGAACTCTATCCAGCATGGTCTACTCTCACTCTCCACTCTATTACCTCAACTCAAAAAGTCCTCTAGACTTCAAACGCCTCCTCTTTAATCCATTGCTTAGAAACTCTCTCAAGGCATAGCTAGTATAATCATAGGTCTCATTTCATTTGTTTCCAAATTCTCAAGGATATCTGCCTTTCTGTACCTAATGTCTAGAATCTTATTAAAATCATTGTTTCAGATGTTTTGCTGATGTTTTGATTATCCAACGTTTTGATTGTTTCAATTGGAAGCATAAGGATTACCCTGATTACCCCATAACTGTTAGGTCATGGGCAGAGCAGAGTGTGGTTATTTAACTTTAAATTAATTTAAATTAAATAATATCAAAATTCAGTTCTCATTCACACTAATTAGATCATGTAATCAATAAGCTACATGTGGTAGTAGGTACTATAATGGACAGAACAGAGAAATAGAACATCTCCGTAATTACAAAAAGTTCTATTAGACCTGTTTGGCTAGGAAATGACATTTTCACTGTACATTGTGGTAATGTTATAGCACTTAACATATTCTAACTTTGGCTGTAAAGTATACATCTGCACACATCTATTTTTATACTCTACACTTTTATGTCTAAATTAACATAAAATTAATAATCATATCACTTAATTAACTCATTTGTGGAAACAATACCATCTATTACATATATTGTAAGGATTAAATGAGATAACATACATAAAGCCTAAGAGAGTGACTAGTACATCACAGATGCTCAATAACTGATAACAAGAAATAATTTCTCTGTGATTCCCTTCCAGTTCAGAACCATTGCATAATATACTTAAACAGGATAAGTAATTTTGAAATTGCTATTTTCACTTCAGTTTTTAACATTTTCTTAAAAATCAAAAAGTAATGTAGGGCCTGCTACAACATGGTGGAGCATGCCTCAAAACATTATTTAAGTGAAAGAAACCAGTTACAAATGACCACATGCTGTATAATAATATGATTTATATGAAATTCTAGAATAGAC